GCTGGAGTTTCCCAACCACTCGTGCATAACATGGCAGTAGTGCAAGCCAGAGGGTGATGGATGTGCAGCTCCCCAGGAGGGGCCAAGGTTTCAAGGATGTCGGTCCCACAGCACCAGTCTGAGGGAACATCAGGGTTAAAGACAAGAGTATTTAATATTTAACTGCAGCATGGCTCTGCGTCCAGACCAGCAGTGTGGCTAAGCAGGTCTGCTTTGGAGGCACCCTGTCCACCACTGTCCCAACTCTGATATGGTTCAGTAGGCAGTCTTCTGGCTCCCACTCCCTCCATCACTTCATTCATGGCTGAACCTTAAGGCAGTTCAGGGAGCCTTGGGGTGCTTTCAAAGAGTGAAAACTAAACATTGATGTTGCTTTTCCACTAACAATTTGCACTTCTAATATTTCTTCAGTTTGATGTGTTTGTGTTGTGTTTTGGAGTGTCCAATAGAGCAGCAGTTCTGATCTGTGGATAGTCCTGTATTTCAGAGGTGGGTTTGTTTGGCTTTTTAAATTTTCTTTACTTAATTTTTAAAAATTGTCACATCCACAAAAGTAAAAAGGCCCAACAGTTGTAAAGCAGCTCCATTCCTGAGTGAAATGAGCCAACTGCTGATGCAGATCTCATGTGACCTGAGGTTGGATGTTACACTAGGTCCTTGGCGCAGCAGGAGAAGCACAGGATGGCCATTGAGGGGCTAGAAGAGTTTACTGACCTAACCACTGGCACAAAGTTATTGAAGATGCATTAACATAGATGTGAAAAGCTGAAAAAGGAAGCTTCATTTTCCAGTGCAAGTCAGCAGCAAGGAAACTCCTAGTGATTATATGTTCACTCTGACAAATAATGTAAGTTTGGATTTCAGGAAGCACCTCCAGACTTACAGAAAGACTGCAGCTCAGTAAGTGACAAGTTCACCTTGTGGGGGAAAACTTTTCACAGAGTTCATGGAAAAATGGAAAACGGAAAAATATTTTTATTATAAAATGCTTCCTTGTAGTCCAGCTTGCATTACGAATTAACAGTAAGGTCATGAATATTAAGTTTGTCATACCTTTTTGAGAAAATTTCTTGAAGAAGCTTCATATTGCCTTTAGAACAAGTAAAACCTCACAACGTTTTAGAACAGAAAGAATTAAATTGGTAAATTAGTCATCAAAGAACCTTCTGTGTTTTGGGTAGTGAGTACTTGTGTGAGTGATGTTTTTCATGTGATCTTCTTGTGGCAATCACTAATAATGAGAGAGATGGTACATGTTGCCACTCCACAGCATTTTTTCCTCAGGAAAATATTAAAACTTTACTATTTGGGTGCTGCAGGTGCGAAATGTACTGAAAACCACTTGTAAAGATTTTAATGGACTTATCCTCTCTTATAGTGCTGTTTGATTAAGACAAACACATTGCTGCATTATAAAAAGGACAGAGACTTTTTAATGCTCGTTCAGATTTTAATGTTATTAAATCAAAAATGTCTGCCTAGCTTTCACACTTGCTAGTAAGGCAGAATCTTAAAATCACAGTATTCTCCTCTGCCAAAAGCACATCAAAATGCCACTCGACTCCATGGCAATGTTATGTAACATAAATAATGTCCTTAGTGTTTAAAGCTACTATTTAGCAATAAAGACATAACAATTTTTGTGGTACAGAAAGAACAAGAAATGGCTTCAACCAGTCCTGCTTCTTTAAAATGCAGACAACTAATATCCCTAAAGTGTGAGCTTTTCTTTCACAGAGAGAACTTGCACACTTTCTATTAGAATTAATAAGGGAAAGGTTTCATTCCAGCAATTTAATGCTAGCACTGTCATAGTCTTTCATTATTCTGGGCTCGTGGACTGCTTTTGCAGAAAACAGCTTTAAAATATAGGTCAACATTAAAGGATTTTGAAATAAGGCAAAAGTGCTCTTATTTCTCTTTTGAGTGGGTCCTTTATTTTAATACCTATAAGAGAAGTTCTCTCTTCTCCAAATCCTTTCTCCCTAGGAGGAATCAGCAGGGACGTTGTGACTTATTTGAAAGTTAAGAGGCTGAAAAGCTTTAGAGGAGGCATTGTAATCTGTTATAAAACATGTACAGGACAGAGGCATAGATTTGGAGTTGTTGGTATCTCTCCAACACATAGGAGAGAAGCATGGCATGATTAGATTACTCATGAAGTGTTAATCTTGCAGCAATGAGGAAATCTAAAAAATAAAATCCCAATCCTCATGTTTACACCAGATTAACTAGTACAAAGAGGCAAGCATCTCCTTTCATTGTTGCTTTGAGATGTATAATCTCTATCCTTTTGAATCTTCTGAAGTTCACATACAGAAAATGTAATTATTACAAATACAAAACCTGTTTTAGTTGCAAAACACTCTTATTTCGTCCAAAAAACAGTGCTGCTATCATTCTGTTTTTACAGAAACAGTATTGATCAAACCCAGAACAAGATGGTGACACAGGGAAAAAGATGATGAAGCAAGCTTGCAGTGAGTCCCATCTTTTGTTTTTCCCAAGCTGCCAGGTCAGCATTTGTAACTGGCTGTCTTAACTCGCATGGGGTGTACAAAGATAGGTGACTCTGCTTTTTTTACCTTGTCACTCAGTCTGAATATTAAGAACTGGGTCTACTTGGCTTCCAAGATTACAAATTTAGCGTTTTGAGCTAGTAAAGCTGAGGTTACTCAGTAAACATGCTAAGGTAGTTGGTAGGGATCTTGAAAGCCCTAAAGCAACGTTTGAGGACTCCCAGTGCTGTGAGTCCACCAATGGTGATGGTGCTGTGAAACTGTTTTGTGGATCGCATGGAGAAAGCTGCATTCACTGGGCAGAAGAGCATCCTTTCTGGTCAATAACTCTTGCTAAACCACTTCCAACCCAGTCGTGCAGTTTTATCCATCATAATGATTGTGACTCTCTGCTATTGACTGAATTCTTGTTCTCTCAGCACCTGTAGAAACTCAGTGGACAAAAGTGAATCAAATTCAGCAAGCAGAAAGTATAGTATTCTGATGCACTTTCCATGAGAGCAAGTGGTTCCTGCCCGCAAAGAAGGCAGGTTCTCAAAATGCCAAAGAATTGCAGGTTTGAGAGAGAAATTTGCGTCCATTCAGATTCATCACTGTGCCAGCAGCCGAGCCCTGGGTCGGTGGGTCAGGTCTTGGGCAAGCATCTTAACAGATTTCTTGGTGGCAGCATTATAGGAATTCAGAAATTCTGTACTTCACAGACAAACTAAGGCATTGCTTGTGCTCTGGACACTTGTGTTTCATCAGATGTCCATCATCTGTGCACCATGTGTAAAGACATTTTCCATTAAAAAAAGTATTTTTGTTCTTGTCACATGTTAGTTATATTTGTAGAATGGTGACTATTGAAACCAGTCAGCCTCCTGGGAGCCATAGTTAGGCTTGGGATATTACTGTGCAAATAGATAGTAAAGGGCTAATATTCTTACATTATCTGTAAATACCTCTCCTGCATCTACTTGCTGGCACGGGATACAGAAAAAATAGGCTTCTCTTTCATTATGTGCTTTTTCTTCACTTGACTTAAGTAGAGCAGCTAATGTAACTTTAAGGGTTCGCAGTTTGAATACGATAGGCGTCATTGATTTTTATTTTTAATTTCCCGCTGCTAGTGTTTGCTACTAAACACTTTCCAGTGGTGACAGAAAAGTGGACTATATCATAATGTTCTGCTTTTTGTGAAGTGGATGTTCCTTTTTTATCAGTATACTGAAACATGAAACATCTGGATTTGGACTGGAAACACTTAGTTGAAACCCCAGGCTCAGGATATTTGTTTCTTACCAAGTATCTCCTGAGATTTGGTGCTGAGTAAGAACTACATTGCTAGTCTGTCAATACGTGAGGTTTTATTTGCTTATGAAATGGTGTGTTAAACAAAAATTGTGCATTGTCACTTGCCTTGCACATTATAAAGAAAACTGCAGAGTCCCTGAAGGAGAATCTAAAGGTTACAGGGGGACTGTCATTTTATTTTGTTTTTCACACGTAGCCTCAGCTTTAAAAAGTGGAGTTAAATCATCTGAATATGTTCAGGTCTGGAAGTGCTGAGAGTTCAGCACTCCTGATAGTAACATCATTTCTTTAGGAGTTCCTATATTGACACTGGATACTAACATTAGCATTTTGTTCTCTAAAATCTTGGTGCTAAGAATAAGTCAGCTTTAATTTATAGGCAGAACCCTAGAATCCCCCTCTCCAGTGACACCCTCAGTAGGAAACGTAAAGGTCCGCTGTGGGTTGCCCTGCAGTCACCTGTGGTGGTTGTTGCCTGGGAATATGGCACAGATTCTCTCCACACTCTGCTGAAGTAACAGGTGAAGCAAGTTGTCACATGCCACATTGAAAGAATACAGAGCTTGCCAGTATCTCATGGCTTTATAAAAGTATCAGAACTCTGGGGAGAAATCCATCAGGATGAATTATTGACATCAGTGATGCTTCCGGTTGAAAGTGAGAAACCAAAGTGCAGTTGTGCCATTCTTTGCTCATTCTGCTTTGCGGTCCTCTGATTAGGCTTTTTCTACTCTACATATTTCCCCAAATAAAAGCAGTGATGTATTTTTATGTAAATGTTATTTTTTTTGTGGTGCATTAATGGGCTGGTGTTCTTACACTATCTGTAAATCTGTGTGAATATAGGCTATTTTTAAAACCTTCCTGTGCTGTTCAAAGTCTTGTTTGTATTATTCAAGAGGCTGTAGTGTTGGCATTATAATGTAAAAGGGGAGACCACCTCTTCTGGTAGAACCAAAACCAAATAAAACTTTAGATAATGTGAAGAAGATATTTACTTATGAATTACATTGTGGGTGGTTTTTTGCCTCAATATACCAAACACTTGCAAACTACAAACAAGAAAGAAGTATTCAGAAATTAATATGTTTATGCTGTGAGGTCTAAAAGATCCTCTTTTTTTTTTTTTTTTACATTTATTTTTGTAGAATCATTCTAAATATGTAGGTTATTTTTCTGTCTTAGGCTCCTAAGGACCCAGTCTCTGGATTGGTACTATAATAATGTCAAAAGCCGCTTTAAGTGTTTTGGAAGTGCCAAAGTCCTGAAGAACCTGTACAAGAAGCATAGACTGGAGAGCGGAGTTTGTCCTGATACAATAGGTAAGAACAGCTCTGTTGATTTCTTACAAGATTTATTCTAATCTACTTTAACATACAAGTTGAGACAAAGGAAATTCTGAGATCATTTCAACAGAGATTTTTTTAAGGCAATTTTTTTTCTTTGCAAAAGAAATGCCTCAGTGGAGAAAAAAAATAGGTGAAGTGTCTAGAGAGCTGTTTAAGAAATCAAAGAATGTTTTATCTTAATTATGTCACTGATACGGAACTGTCTGTAAAGTAAATTGCAGTTTGTATTCTAGCTTGTGTCCCAAAATTTTTCACAGTCCTGGGTAGTCAATGAATGAGAAAATAATTTTGCACGCAATATTTGATCTTAGAGCATATTTCTGTGGTGCTTGAAACAAAATTTTATTAACATGGGATCCATTCAGTATCCAAGTTGACCAAAACTTAGATTCCCTCACTTAGAGTTTTGCATGCTTAAGGATCTGAAACTGGCCACACCTTTTTTTTTTAATCCATGTTTGTAAATAGTTAAAAGCTACTGATAAAGTATTGGCATCATCCTTTTAAATGAAGACACAATTCTCCCTTAACTGTGGTGTTCTAATGCCTCACCCCATAAGAAGAGTAATTGGAGATATAAAATGGGTTGGAAGAAGTGGAGTTTGGTGTCATACTGGTAACGTCAGCAAATTACTCGAAACACAGCTAGCTGAATATTTGACATTTCATTGGATTTATTGGATCAGATACTCCACTAATGTAATTCTTTTAACATCTGTACAAAAACTGGTAATTTTTCTATAGTCTGCTTTTTTTCTGAAATTATTGAGGATGGTAAGTAGACTCTCTATACCTGAGTAGAAATTTCAGGTATTTCATATGAAAATTGACATAAAATCTTCTAGGAAGAAGTGGCCTATGCATTAAATTGTGATTTATTAGTCTTTTTTCTCTGTCGGTATCAAATCCATTTTTCTTGAGAAGTTTCCTTAACAATGGAGAACAAATACTTATGAAGACAAGTAAATCTGTGTCCCTGAGGGAAGAAGTGGGATAATGGAAGTAAAAACTGTGGCAACAGATGCTTCAGAACTTTCGTATGATGTGTTGCCATTACTTAAGCCATAGTTTCACTTGTTCCTTGAATGGAAGTGTGAACAGTGCAATGATAAGTTGCAGTGGCATGTGCACTCTTTGTGAGACCTTTCTAAGGAAGGCCTTTGAGTCTAAATGTCATTGCTAACTTTCTGCTACTCTCTGTGTGAATGTAAGGTAAACCTTTTGTTCTCTTTGAAGATAAATACTAGTATAAGTGTCTTATTTATACAGCATTGCCCTTTAAAATGTAGAATCTATTTCAACTCCAAATGTCATAGTGAAGGCAATTCCCTGTACTTAACTTCCACCATGTGAGTTTTATGCCTACTATCTTCTTCTTTTCTCTTTTACTGTAGTAATAGTTTTTAGCTTCTTCCTCTCTCTTTTACTGTAGTAAGTTTTCTCAATCCAAAATGAATGAGAGGTCTTTGATATAAAAGCAATCATGTTTTGTACAAAAGCTGCTGCAGTCGTCATTTATACAACAGCTAGGAGGAATTTTCCATTTATGCCTCGTTGTTTGCGCTACCACCATATCCTGAGTGAATATTCTAATCTAATAATGCCTCTGCTGTTAATGGGTACATCTAATACTAAAGCAAAATTCTGTCTTTCTTTTTAGCTGAAGGGAGTTTGTTTGAAGGAAGCATTGAGAATGATGGGAGCATTTGTGGCAGTGACTCTACATTCTACCAACAGACAGAAGGTATGCTGCTAAAAACTCATTTGATTAAACACAGACCTTACACTTTCAATTACTGGACAAGTAGCTTAGAGTACTGGTAAGTCTTGTTCACAGATCCAAAAATACTTTGGCTAAAACATTCAGCAAGATACTAAAAGTCTTTTGCCTACCATGCTGGGATATTTTGCTTCAGTATTTACGCTAATACACACCTGTTCTAGTGTGATTTTCTTAATGTTCATTTTTTGTTACTTCTCTTCCATCAGCAACATAAAAAATACTGTGTTTTCTTGTGTTTAAGATTTACATTTAGGAAGAAACATGGAGATTGAGACAAATTTATCTGTCTTAAGTTGTTTATTTTACTGTGCATAAATACGGATTGAGAAAATGAACTTTTTCATGAACAATTTAAGATTTTAATATATGTCCAGAATATGTCTGAATTTTGGAGCTCGTTATGCAAAATATGCATATATAAAGAACATGTTGGTTTTATCTTATTCTTCATCTAGGACACAGCATGATGGATACCCTTGCTGTGGCTTTACGTGTTGCAGAGGAAGCAGTGGAAGAAGCTATTTCTAAGGCAGAGACCTACAGTGACAGCCTGGTAACACTTTCAAACAAAATGTATTAATTTAAATAGGACAATTATGTTTCTTTTGATTTGGGTAATGGTACAAAACCAAGTAGATACAAAAGAAAACATAAAGAAGTAGTGGCTATCTCATGCTTCACCTAAAGATTTGGGCATGGGTTTTATGTACTGGTATCCAAGATGCATGTTGCATTTCAGAAGGTGACATGCAATATAAGTGCCTGGAATTTTTTCCCACAGTGCCAGTAGGGCGTATTACCCATTTCCCAATCTATACAACCTCTGTGGAAAGGCTGGTTTTATGTGATTTTAGCAAATACAGATATCCATTTTCATGCAGGACAAGCAGAATGAAGCGTGTTACTTGCAGGAGCACAAGGAGGACCTCATAGAAGAGCTGGCCACAACCATTGTGCAGAAGGTATGGGATGCTTTTTTTCCTTAGCTTGTTTAATAGCCAAAACACAATGCTTTAGTCTGATGAGCTCAAACTCCACTAACAGCAAAAAGGATGATACCAATATAGAAAGTAAAGTAAATGACAAGTTGGAACTTCAACTATGACAGTATAGGCTTAGTCAGCTACATCTGACAGAGAGATCAATTTATAAATAAGATTAATCCAGTGCCTAATCTGATGCCCTACACCCTCAGAGCTGAGAGGTACCATTCCTTGAGGTCTGTGATATCCTATCTTGGCCCCTGCTCAATGGAATTTTACATCTGTACTTCACTTCCCCAAAGGCACAAAGTTTTCCAGTGGCAAGAGGTGTGGCTCTTGATCATACCCTCTGCTGAACCCTGCACCTGCAACACATTCAAAGAAAACATCAACCATTAAAATAGAATTCTGTTAATGATGCTTCTAGATACACACACACAAAATCACAGAATCTTCGGTGTGTCAGATTTCTGTGGCTTTTTACATAAAGCTCGTTCTTCTCCCTGAAAAGCTCACAGTTGGCACTGATGCAGAATAGAAGTGGAGGGCTGCAGATGCAGTTGGCACTGATGCAGAATGGCAGTTGAGTTTGTCTGGACAGTTTGGAGCAAGGCAAGATGAGCATGAACAGAGTGCTGTTGAGCTCCTGGGGTCATTAAAGTAACCAGTCTGCTAAGTTAGTCTCCTTCCATATGAAATAAGCTAGTTGCCACATCTGTGTATGGGCTGTGGCATTTAATAGTGTATGTATGAAACACTAGAAGAGAAACATGTTGTTTATAAGGCTATTAAAAAAAGCCAGAAGAGCAGCATTTTCTCAATGAAAAATAATCTGCCTTCTTTTTTAATAGGGATGTTAGAAGATTAATTCTACTTATTGAGTCTTTCATAGTCATGAGCCTGCCTCAGCCAAGCTTGAATTGCTACCACTTTTGTGAAGAGCTGCCTAATAAGATCTTTTATGCCATATAATAATATTCTGTAGATATTTTATATTTGAGTCAAAGAAAGTTGTGACAATTAAGCACAGTGGGATATAATCTGTCAGTGAAGGGAGACAGGTAGTCTCCATGATCTCTCTCTCTTAAGATGGTGTAGATTTTCAAAAACAAAAATAGTGCCTAAACACCTAAGACCTCATTGTTTTCACTAGAAATGTGTCTAGATGTCATGGGAGCATTTGAAATTCCCCTCATATGTAGTATTTTGTGTTTCTTGGCAAAAAGTCTTGTCTGAGAAAATACTTGACACTTAGATATGCTGCTAATGTTTAAAGTGTTACTGTAGCAACAAGTTTCCATGTTTATTTAATTCACCTTCATTAATGTTCCTACAGGCCTTGATTTTGATTTATTGTATCAATGCTTATGTGCTCGCAAGCAATATGACTTCAGATGAGAAGAAGTGCATGCAAGCTGTCAGAATCATCCTTTGCATGAGCTGGAGCAAGAGCAAAGGGAAACTCATATGTTCTTCCTAGGCAGGTTACCTTGACACAGGGTTAATGTAGTTTTTCTCCATGCAGCTCAGACAGGACTTCCTGAGCTCCTCTTTCCTCTCCCCTCCCACCCCTTGTTCTCCTACCTTACAGATTATAAAGAAGCAGAAAAGCAAAACTGAGCAGGCCGAGGCCGACTTTGAATGGCCGCCATCCAGGAGCAGTGGCCTGGCGTCTGTCGCTGTCTCAGATCAGAGCATGCTGACTTTTCCAGGGAGCCGCAGGGGGTCCTACACGTTATGGGTGAGTGGCACAGCACATCTATTGATGTCTTCTGATGCATAAAACCAGCAGATTGTGGTCATGCATAAGTATACTTCTTGCCTGGAATGGTATGTAGAGACTTGTAGAGAACAGGCATTAAACCTATGGCTGGACAACCTGTTGCCCAGTTGCATGTTTTCCTAGCATCCCATTGGCCCTGGAAGTACATCACAGACATTGTGCTGTGTTGGGGAGTAGTAAGTTTGAGATATGAGAAATCTCACTGCTTGATTTCAATGCTAATAGGACTCAATACCTCAGTGTTTATTTTTCTAAACAGTTTTTCTGCTCACTTAGCTTTTATTTAGATTTTTGCTGAGCGTTATATTTTCTTTCATATAACATTAGATTTCTGTAGTATTTCTTTTTCTCTTTAGCAATCTTAAAGAAAACAGCCACCACCCTCAAACAAACAGTAAACCCAACTCTAGAGCACCATTTATGTCTTACACTAAAGAGTGTTTCCTCCTTTAACTTATTTTGCAGCACAATGTGTTTAGCTCCTGCTACAAAGCCGAAGAAAATCTGACAAGCTGCATTAGTAACACTTTTAAAAGAGCAGCAAGTAAAAAGAAGTTAAAATAAGCTGTAGGCTTGGACAGGCTGTTTGACAATCGGAGAGGGAAGAAAGTGACAGATGAGTTAGTTCCAGTGCATTTTGATACTGTGATTTAAGTGTCCTGCTACTGTGCCAGTAACCACCTCTCCCCCACTGAGCAAAACCACCAGGACTGAACGTGGGCTATGTCTTAGTTCCCAGCTAAGTTTGCTAGCTTACACTCCCAATGAGAATAGATTAATGCCAGAATACCAGAATTGCTGAGATACGGACTTGCATTCTAATCCCCCACCTATTTCCAGATTGGAGGTGTAATGCCTATAAGATGCTGCTGTTAACCAGGTGATCAGAAGTCAGGGTGAGCATGTTTAAGAGCTTTGCTCTGTCACTCCTAGACCAGTTGCTTGCAGAATATAAGAGCCAGGACAGAGAGTTAATTTTGCACCTGACTCAGGTGAGGTTTCTTTTTTGAGTTTAAGGACAGGAACTAGAGATATATGCTGTTCAAATCCTTGGTCATTATACCAGAAGTTTGTTGTTCTGCATTTGGAGAGTTAAGCTTGAACTCAACACATTTTGAAATTCTCTTCTAAAGTAACAATTTAGTCCTAAGTTTTTTACCAGAGGGAGGCTCATTGCTTTGAGTAATAGTAGACTTTCTGGAAAATACTGGAGTAGCAGAAATGTCACACTAAGTGAGCACAGCTTCAACACTTCTGTACCCATCAGTCAGTAGTAGAGATCCAGATGTGTACAGTGCTTTATAAGGACACTCTACCTCTTTACAGAGTTTTTTGCCACATTTGTCACCATTTGTTCCACTTGCCTCCCCACAGTGCTTTAAGGAACACAAATGAATTTGGCCATCTGCTGTGATTTCTTTCACCTCTCCCATAAGTTTAGTTTCTGCCTTTTGCTTTGATAGGGTTGTTTTATTGTTTTCCCTTGTTCTTTGAAGTGTATAAATGTTTATTTTTGCTTTGCTTTGAACAGAGGAGAATTTCGTTAGCATGACAAAACACCCTTGGAAAGGAAGCGTAGCTCCAGTTGTTCCCATAGCTAATATAGTTGCAGTTATGTTAGCCAATTAGACTAGCAGAATTAAAGTCACAGAAGCTCTAACAAAGGGCCTGCTGGAAAGCCTTCTGAAAGGCAATTTGTGCAGAGCAAATGCAGAGCAGTTACAGCCTGCTTTATTCTCATCAACCGTGCTGAAACAACCCAGATTCCTTTTCCTGAGTTTGCTTTCCATTGCACTTTGTTTTCATTCAGCTGCAATTGGGAAGCATGTGTCTGTCAGTAGATTTGCAGGATTCAGCTACACCAGTTTCTCCTCTGTATATCATAGGAGAAAGTTATCTTTTCTGCCAACAGAATCGCAATTATTTTTTTCTTTCCAAAACAAAGCTTAGCTTCTACAGAAGCTGGCAGAGGGCTTATGGCCCTATGCCCACTCCAGGCAAAGCTCCTTACTCCCTCCCAGGAACTCTTGAGTCCAAGTCTGTAACAGCAAATCTTCATGGGTTCCACTATAACATATGAAGTTTTCTTAGTTCCTAACTGATGATGTTACGTCAACAAAAAAAAACTAAACTCTTGATTTGTGTACACATCCTGACATTGAGCTGTGTGTGTTGACTTAGTTTGAGCAGAGTGCTGCCTGTAATGGAAAAAACCTTTTAATATTAGTACACACCACAGCTAACAAGGGGTCTGTTGCAACAAATTTATTAGCACAGGTGTTCCTACTGTAACCGAGGTTTTTGTAGGCAGACATTGTGGCCACAACAATCCCAAGGGAAGGAGAAAGAAAAAAAGGTGTTCATTTTTTTTCAAAAGCTACCCAAGGTGACTGTTGTTATGTCAGAGTTATGTATGTGAACCTGTTTCCCAATAAGGATTGTTTAAGTAGAACTTCCCCTGTTTAAGTATTTCTTTGATACCTGGCAAACACATTAGGAGAAACAGGATGGATTAAATAAAAGGAAAGAAGTAACAATTAACAAAAAGACAGACATGCAGGGGAAAGAGAGGTAAGGATTGCAAATATTAAGGCAGTCAGGATTTCATAATTTAAAACTGGAAATTTGTCTCAGAGCAAATATTTTTATTTGTCTTCAGTGTAGAAAATAATACATGCAGTTTTGCTAGCACAATAAAGCTAGTAACATACAACATAGGGCAGTTGCATGTTATAACACTGGCCTTTACAAACCCATTTTATTATTGCATTGCATTTTATTACCAAAGTCACTTGCTTTCAGTGTCGGGGGTGCTGTAATTCCAGGTATCACCTTGTGGTTATACCTGCCAAGCAATTTTTCTTTTAATGTCAGCTATTTGCATGCAGCTCATGCATATCAGCCAGAAACTTCCAGTAGACTCTGGAAGCCCTGCATTACCTCCCTTGCTCATCCAAAATCACTTGCTTTGAAATCATCATTAAATATATTAAACTTCCTCCCTATTCCCCTCCCCCAAATACAGTATTGATTGTTTAACTGCAGTACTATGGTGTGGTAGTGTCTGTAGATACTGTCTTTCCCTTTTTTCCTCTTAGATTTCTTTGAGATCCCTTGCCCATGCTAAAAATAGTCATACAAGGCTGAATATTTTATTTCGCCATCCCATAAAAAGAGATGGATGGCACCATCTGTTTCTCATTACCAAAAAGCAAAGGCTATACAGTGTTGGGATAGGAGGAGCTTAGAGCAATGGGCAGATGCTCCTCTGCTTTCTCAGTCCGGTTCCCCTCTATACATCACTGCCAATGAGAGAGAAAACGACCAGTTGGCATACTGTATCCCATTTAAACGTTGATGGAGTGCAGGCACCCTGGTGTGTTTTAAGTGCTGTATTAGTGGTCTTTATTTTACAGCTAAAAGATTGCACATATAAACAGAAGCTCATCCATAATTTATAGTATATAAAACAGCTAGGGATATAGGGAAAAGGAGGATTTCATTAAATACACATTATGATGCACCTCAGGGGAAGCAGAAATTTACTGGTTAAGCTAATTATAAGGTCCACAGTGTACTGACTGTTGTTTATTTTTTCTTCTTTATTTTTTCCCCCATTTGACTTGTTTTAAACAGAAGGAAGGTTCTGCAAGGAGGAGGTTTTGCAGATGCTCAATACCTTGCTAGGTTTATCTCAAACAAGCACTTGAAGAAAACCTTTTTGAGGTGCATTCCTGTTTAGTAGTCATACAACACAGTGGGAGAGTGATTTCAGATGAGGGAGGCATAACATTGTAGGAAGTTGATACCAGCTGACATCAGTTACTACCTGTCAGTGACTCTGTCTCAGAAACATCATACTTATGTCTAATTAATAAATGTGTCACATCATAGGGAAGATGGAGCTTTTAGCTTTTATACATGAGCTGCCATCTGAAGTTTGCATGACGTGTATTGCTGGGACCTACTTCCAATAAGGCAGGTGTGCATTCATCCAGAAGCCCCTCAACTGGATCTGATGGGATTATTTGCTATTTTGTTTCCTTCCAAAAGAAGCCAGCTGCAGCACCATCTTCTCTGCACAGAATAGGAAAGAACAGTACATTTTGAGTGCTCTAAAAAAAGGGTCTTTTTTATTAATATTTATTATTTGAAAATCCAACTTCCTCTAAGTACTTTCCAGATTGCAGATAACACTGACATCTGCTGACTTCACAGATGACATTGTAATATTGTAATCTCACTGCAAAAGTGATCTGGATTTCAGATTAAGACAGCCCTGCCTGTAGTAATCTGATTGATTTCCCTCCTTCCACTGCTGCAGAGAGATAGGATACAACTACTTTTGCTGTTCTGATTCAGCAACTACTAGTAGTTTTTAAGGCTCAGGTCTCTAAATAATCAATGCAAGGCTAAACACAACAGTGTTGTCCTTTTAAAGTTGTTTGTATAGTTCGAGTTTGTACTTCATCTCGAGACGTATCTCTAGCATAAGATTACTGATTTTTGGTTTCATAATACTACCCATACACTTGACAAACATTCAAGAAGACAATTTTGGATGCTAGGTACATGATCAAGTCCATGCAGACCTATGTTTAGGTGCACTACACTTACTCTCAACAAACCAAGATAGGTATGAAGGCAGTATTAAGGGAGTAGGAGAGAGGACAGAGATGGGTGGTCATTCCATAATGTTATTTTCCAAATAATTTAAATCATATGTTGTTCTACCAGCTTTATTCCTGGGTATCTCAGAATTTTCAGGTCTAACTTAAAACCAGACCTAGGCTTCCTGACAAGTCTTACTTTATTTTTAGATTAAAGTAGGGTGTATATTGTCACAGCAAGAAGCAAATAAACACAGAACACTTAAGATTTCTTCTGTCAGTTGGTTGTTTGAGTAGGAGATATAGCAATTCTCTCTGATAGGCGCGTGCTGTGCTGAGCACAACTTT